AGAAACTGTAATGTAGCCTAAATTTAAATATTCTTTAAAATTGTGTTAATAATAATACTATCGAGACTTTATGTAACTCTAGTACAATTCTTTGAATCTAACAAACATCAAACAAAATTAATTAAAGCGCACTTTTAATTGTGTGCGATGAAAATGTTCCCTTTAACGTCCACTTTGAGTTATTTCGAAGCAAAATTGCTTTCACGTCGAGGTATCTCGACGTGAACTGATATTGATGTTGAATTATATGAAAGTTAACTCACAATGATCGGCTTACTATCGAAAAGAATTGATATTATATGAGAAAAGAATTTCCGCTTCAATATATGAGTTTCTTAAATCGCGTTTTAAACCGGACAATTTTGTGCGAATATTTTCCTTATTTCTGTGGAAAAGTCAATATTTGCGAAGAATTTTACGTTCTCTTGGAGGAACGCGCGATGTAACTTGTTCCAACGATGACTATCAAGAATTTTTTTCATTTACCGGAAAAGATATTTTTCATTTGTGAATATGGTCATGCACTTTATTGAAACACAATTACTTATTACACCAAGCTTGCAACCTTTACTGCACGTCGATTGAAAAATGTTGCAACAAACATTCGCTATAGAATATTATGCACATTTCTCACTTATTGCAGCATTCCTTCGTTTGCCTTTTTTAATACAAACGACATTATTAAATCTGTTATTGGCTCAATACTATTTTTTAATTAATATATGGCAAATATGATAAACTTTAATGATTATATGACAGACTTTGACACAGTGCTTCGACGTGCATTGTTCAATTCGATTAGAAAGTAATTAGAAAGTAATTACTGGCGGAAGCGGATGTTTGCTTGCTGTTTGTACATGTTTACTCCCAAGTGTTTATGTCCTAAATACTTTCTACGAAATATAGTGATTGCGGTAAATTATTATTTTGTGGTATTCTCTTTCAGTATAGCCGCCAACGCATCATGCTTCAAAATTAGCGAAATTGTATTTTCCATTAAATCATTCGTGACGGACGGCGATAAAGCTTCGGAAAGTTCTCAACGGAATTAACATTTCAGGAAAACAAATCAATGTCATGACATAATTATAAGACAGCAACATCGTAAGTCGATGATTATCTCGAAAATAGTTGAGAAACATGGTCGTACTTTTGACAAAGGAACTGTCACTTTTATCAAACGTCGACGTCGTTCTATGCTGCTTCGCGAATGGCGGCTATTATTTACTTCTTGAAAGCGTTCTTCCGCGTTTGGTCCCTTTAACTTGAATTTCTCTTGAACGCGAAGTTTTCGCTTCATTGCTACAACAAGCAAGTCATTAATTCTGTTACGAATCTTATAAGAGGCATCAATTATTCAGTAAAAGAGGACTAGCATTTTCCGTCTTCCAAATTTTATCACTTTAAACCTCCATTTTTCGTTTAGCAAAATATCGTTTCCATTTTTTTTTCTTTAAAGAGTATAACTTGATATTTTTGTTGTCATTTTATAAATTTTTGTAAAATATAATAAAATTACATATAGTAATATAAGGATATGCTTAATTTTTACGTAAATAACTGTAGTCTATTAATGACAAAGTAAAACATGGATGATTCAAATCTGTAATCTGATAATAGCAAATAATGCAATAAAATATATATCTGCATAAGCCTATAAATTACTGTAAAGCAGATAGAATTTACTAATTATAATTAGTAAATTGCATTCATACATATTTCTATCATGCGAGAAATCCAGCTAATGAATTAATTTTGATTTCAATAATATAAAAAACTATATTTTTGTTCTTATTATTATTTTCTTAAATTAAATTTTTTAGTTTTTATTTCTTTTTTTTAATTTTTAAATAAGTACGTGTGCAACTTTTTTTTACGATGGCTAGTATTTCAATATTAAATATTAGATGGAAATTATAATCTGCATCAACATGTGATTTTATCAAGTTCCTAAAATTTTATATTTTTTACATAAAAACTTCAAAATTTCTATGCAATCTTTTTGATATCTTTTCTTCATTGAACAACATCAAATATTACAGCTTTGTACAATCCAATGTATCGCATTAATCTTTTAAATAATGATATTTTAATCTTGCAGTTTCTGACTGCATTCAGACATTCACATAGCACATCGCCAGTGATCTACGAAATAATATTTGAGCACACAGGCAAGTCTCCAGCAAGTATGCAGACCCTAACTTTTATTGTACGCGATAATGTCAAATGCGAGCTACGCGGCTCTCCATAAAACCGAATGCAACCGCAACATAAAATAAAGTGTATACGAGCGCCAGCTTTACTGTACACATCAATTTCTCCGTTTTATGCTGGAATTCCCTGAGTAACATAGTGCGCACCCGCGACTAATTACATTTCGCGTTGTTCACTCTTACAGCGGAGGTTAACGCGCGGAAGCTTTGAGCTGAGATAATTTATCTATCAAGCCGTTACATACAAAACGGGTTCAGAAAACTTCCATCTGCGAAACATGTTTTTGCGTACGGTGAACGTCTTTTTTTCATTCTGATAACAGATTATCACGTAGCAAAAAAAAATTTTGTTTACAAAATCTTGCTTCTCTCTTCAATCTCTTTGAAAAAAGTCGAAAAGAAAAGTTTTAAATTATGCAATTTTTACAAAGACAGAAATAAGCAGAAAATTAAAATAATTTCACTTTGTAGCTTTCAATCTAGATGTAATACAAAATCCAATTTGCAGCATCAAATTGACATTTAAAGAAGATTATATTAATGAAGGATCCTTTGAATCACCGCGTAAATGGATCAGGAAATCCAGCGCTGTAAAATGATACATGAATCATGTCTGTCTCCAAAAGATTCTAGATTTTATCAAAATAAAATTATAAAGTTTTATATCAAAGAAATGAACGAAGAGTATAATTGTTGATTTCAATGAAATATTTAATTTCATTAAAACCGATTCGGATCACCGTTTCGCTTGCAACTGCTTAGTTATATGTAAAAAGCATAAAAAATATTCCCGCGTATTTTTTACAAGTTTTTTGCACGCGACATCGTATCGCTAGATTTGCAACGTTTGATTTCAATAGGATGAAAGATGCTTCGGTATGATAGCAGTTTCCAATCGATGTTATGCAGTTGGCGGAACGGGCGAAATTGATTTGATCAATTTGATAACGACAAAACCAAGCGAGACAATAAAAAGAGACATTACGCAAAAGTTTTCCTGACAATACGTCTTGCAGATACGAGCAGAGAATACAACGGCCAACAATTCCTGTAATCTCGGATAGATGTGTGTAAAATGGTGCAGATGGTACTTGACGTTTCTTTGTCCCACTCGCAGTACGTTACGTGTGCGAGTTACAAGGATCGATTATCGACATGCAGTTTGCATAGCTTCCACATGGAAGCTTTCGTCCCGTAGTTTGTGCATGTACTATAATGAATCGTAGATGTTCACGTACAGTTTGTTTTCCGCAATCAGAATTGGAGAACTATTAATCCTTCCTTTATCGTGTCATCATGATCGATACTTCGATACGCGTATCCGCATTTCATTGACATTCGACACAACAGCTTTGAAAATAGAAAGGAAAACATGTGACTCGCGCAAAAATGCTTAACAAATTAATTATTAGAAAATACGGGAAATAAGATTGTCACTTTATTAACGATTATTTTTATATGTAATAATAATTACTCACAATATTTAGTCTAAATTTCGTATAACCTATACATATATTTTTTATTAAAATGTAATAAGTTAAATAAAATCTGAAGTAATTAAATTAATAAAGTAATGTAGAATAAAAGTTGATTTTTTAAAGACAAAATTTTGTCACGATAAAATGCTCTTCTTAAATTTTCCAAAAATTCATCATTTTCCTGCCTTTATAATATATTAGAAATGACGTTTCAATCCTGTTGGAAACTCTGGATTTAATCAATTCTATGAACTTTACTAAAACGAAATTCCAACCTTTATTACAATATCGACCTGAATATTCCAGATCAAGCCGGTAATAATAAAACTTTACGCTTAATGCGTAATTTATAGCATCGGTTTTAATAAAGATAAAACGCGACACAGATCTTGTTAACATTTCCGCGATTCAATTTTTACATTGATAATAAATTTTTCATAAATTCATAGAGATGGAATATTTTTGTAGGGTGATTTATCGTTCAATTTCAAAGTATAATGTGATCAATAATGTTGTCAGTGCTTTTGCAAATATTTTTCATTTTAACAACAATGTATTGTATGTAAGAACGAGAGAATGCTAATTATTGTTGTTGTTTAATTTGTTGTTTAACTCTTCAGCTCGATTGCAATTACAGAAAACATTTTAAAAAATTTAATTAATTACAAGCACTTCGACGCGACGCGTAAACAATAGGTGATCTGTGAAATTCACTGCATATCGAATGACTCTGGTGAAACGTTAAATATCAGGACGAAGTAAATGCTAACTAATACATGGAATATAAATGGTTATTTCAGAAATAATGAGGGATGCATGCATTCATCATCGCGGAATAATTGTGCACGATCTATGGTATTACATTACTTTTCGTGCTCGATAATGTATATAATTCCTAATTTGATAGAGACGAGAAATTTGCATATTCAAAAACGCGTCAGCGTCACTCGCATAGTGATGCTCGGATTGCGTTAGTCTCCAGTTAAATTCCTTCCATTATTAATATCAGTAACTTGCTATATACGAGTATTATTGAATTTCAACGCTAACTTGCTGACGGCTTCGGAACATGATGCATTACCTTAACTGCACTTTATTCCCGTTATTACTTTAATAACGAAAGTTAATCAAGAATTTGCGACTTAATATATTAAAGAAACTACGTTAAAGTAAAGATGCCAAATCTCTTTTCGTAAATTACGTAACATAAAGGTGTGAAAATGTAAATTGTGCAATTTTTCTCTAAATCTTAAAAATTTTTGAAAAGCGTAAAAATGAATTGATAATTATTTATAAAATTAACGCTTACCGCAACGTTGTTCTGCCGTCGCCCGATGCCTCCTAGGCCTCCACCTCCTCTCAGTGGTCCTTCAAGCACTCACACGCATCGCGAGGCGCACATTGCTCGCGCGCGTATCCGAATACAAAAATCGCGCGACACTTTAAACGGCACTCCCGACGTCGCAGGCAAATCGAGCCGACTCGTTCAAGATGCGACGTTACGCGCAAATCCCGTCCGCGTTTCAGACGATCGTATTTACTAGTTGTGGCACGATTATCTCAAAACAGAGAGCAAAAACTCAGTCGGGATCTCATAATAAAAACCGATTTTCCCCTTTCTCGAATCAAGCGCACACTCGAGAAGCCTCTTGAAGAAAGTTTGATCATGTCCCAATGTTTATCATTCGGCGGAAATGCGTTCGTCTATACGATTCGCTAAAGTACGGCGTTTCGTACTCGCGCGAAACTATCACGACACTCCCGGCATTAACGGCACTCCCGATTCATATTTTGTTATGACGGAACGAATACGATTCGTAGCATCAAACACACAAAGTTCATCTGTAAAATATAAATACATTTACATTACAATAAAAATAATACTATAATAATAATATTAATAATAATATTATAAATCAATTACGAAAAAGATAAATAATATTATAATCCATAATAATAAGTTTGACAGAACAGAAAAAAAATTGACAGGTTCTTTCTGAAAACTCATTTCATTTACTCGCGTACGAAAGCGCAGTCGCTCTATGACGCCAGATTGTGTTACGTATATCTTTAATACGCGCTCCTACGTAATGTATCTATCTTTAAGAAACTTTGAGAAATTAAGATGATTACACTGCAAGCGCGCACTTGATACAGAGTTGCAATCAACTGTCGAATCGAGTTCTGTATTTCTTTCAGGAAAAACATTACACAACATAACACTTTTCAAATTAAAATCCGTAAAATTCAGTAACAAATTTAAAATTAAAGTAAGATCTTTGTTGCGTGATATGCGATATAAGAATATTTTAGTTTATATGTAAAGACGAAACATAAGCGCGTTGCTATGTAATTTTAGATAGAAGCTAGTTTACTTTAGATGGAAGAAAATCCACTGGATGAAATTCCGCGATTAATTATGTTTTGTTATAAAATTTTCTCGATAGTTGTGTTTACGCGTGAAACATTCTAGCCAATATTCTACGACGCATTTAAAATTGTTTTAGTAACCTAGTTTTTATGAAAAAAATGATATTGTTACGAGCTACTGTTTCTATTTTTACGTATAACACCGTGCGGCATTAAAAATATTACGTGTATGCTGCGCAATGCATATTAAATATTGTTTTGTTTATTTTCAATATACTCAACTACATATATATACAAAGTAGAATATATCTGAATGTCGATTTCATGTACGTGTGCATATATTTAAAAGAATATAAAAAAAGTATAGAAAAAGAGAATAATTTTTCACGCAAACTGTATGCGCATGCTGTATTCAGCATTTTCTCGACGAATATTTATTCCGCATCGTAACATTAATTAACATCGATAATTACAAGCTGTGTCAAGTACCATCTACAAGGTAAAACCTTGTAACGAGCTTCTATTTTGCAATAAATTTGCCGCGTATTTTCGCTTTGTGGAGAGCTAATTTAAGACTTTACTACTGAGGTAATTGGTATCAAATTCAGAAGCTTTCGGAAGACAGCTGACAGAGATTTGCAATTAACCGCTTGCGTTCAATAAACTTCAATGCCACTTCTATTCTTATCTCGGAACTGCATTCTCGTGTTCGTGCGCTATTGGAGGCGAACGAATTATTTTGCGATCGGCGAGGAATGCATCGAAACGCAATTTTCTAAACGATCGAGCACGTTCGGTAACAAGCGCACTCGAGTACCTACTGCGCATCGCGTCTGAAGGCAAGCGCAGTCAGACGTTAATGGCAACTGCTGCATGCATCGCGGTATATATCACAATGACAATTAATAACGGTAATTGGACGAAGACCATTAAGTCGCTGCGCTGCGAACTGCGCTCCGTGCGTTTCATGTACGGCAAAGTGCATTTGACGGCAAAGATAGAGATATATAATAGATAGATAAATAGAGAGAGAGAGAGAGAGAGAGAGAGAGAGAGAGAGAGAGAGAGAAAGAGAGAGAGGGAAAGGGGAGAAGGAAGAAGAGGAGAGAAAACTACCGCAGTGTCATTTTGCACCTGCTTTGCACATTTCGTATTTGATATCTCTCCGTAGTATGCACGCCAATGCACTTTCAGCGCCTAAAGTATATCCCGCAATAAATGCGGCCAACCTCTTTTCGGAGGATCCAAGCGCAATCGATATCGACTCATCCCCGACTTAATGGCGTTCGATTTTTCCGGTAATTTTTTTTGCGAGCTTCTTCTCCCGCATTGTCTCTCCTCTTTTCTTCTCTCTTCTTTATACTCGCGCGCAAGTCTCTACACGCTGTTCGATTAAACGGCAGACGCGTGCGGATTTTCCGGGTCGCCCGGCAAAGAGCAGTGCCCTTCCTTTCTCGAGATAAACCGACCGGGTCGTGACGATTAGCGCTATCGCTGATAATTCCTCGTCGCGCATTCGTTTACTCGACGCGAGACGGAAGAAGAGCAAAAAAACGGAAGAGAAAAAAGGGGACAAATATCTTTGACCGGTAAAAATCAGCGACAGATTTAACGAGCGCAGATGCAGAGCGTAGAGATGTTGAATTTCCCTCTGTTTCTGATGCATCTCGTGATGTGCTACCGCGTGCATATTTAAATTCCTTAGACTTAATAAACTCGTTGTGGGTTATTAAATTAACTGCACTCTTCTCCGATACCGTACTCGCTTCCTATCGCACTAAAAAGCAACGCAGAGATATACATTTATAGTCGCAATGATTTAAGTTAAGTTACGTTAGTAACTATCTTAGTAACGTGTTTATTCCTCTTCCTTGTTTTAACCATCATGTTATAGAGAACTATAATATCTTTACGAGAGTTTTAGCGCCGATAAAATTGCTACTACATTTTATCATGAGATTAACGAATAATTTTACAAGAATTAAATATATCTAATTGTAGTGTCTTTAGTTATATTTTTATAAATAAATAACTATTTCGTACACTCATTTCGATGAAAATGGAATTTTAAAAAATAGATTAAAAATAAAAATTGTTTTCGCATAAAATTTACATATTTAGTGGATTTTTAAAGTTTCAAAAATAGAGACTATTTATTATATTATAATATAACAATAAATAATAATATTATATAATATAGTATAAAATTATATAATAATAAATAAAATAAACTTATTTCCACTGTTACAATAAATTTATTGTTGAGTAAATACTTTTCATAAATATTTAGTCACTAGTTGCGCAAATTGATGGAGCACTTTCGTATTACACGTTCAAAGCTAATGTGGTTCACTATTTGTAAGTTTTATTTGTCCAATTAACAAGAGTCGTCTGTGTCTCGCAAGAGGCGTGTTAATTTGCGAATTAAATCTCTCTATCCCTTTCTCGCTCACAAAATTACAACAAAATTAAAGGAAATGTTTGCCTTTATAAACGCAACTCTTCAATATTTTTGAAATAATGTGTGAAAAAAGTATATTGTATAGTACAATATCTATTTTAATCTAAACTGTATCAAATATGGTTTCTAAAATTTATTCCATTATTAACATAAAGAAATTTAATTTGTATTGTTTTCATAAATTGACAAGCTAAATAAAAACAGGAATAAGTCAAAATTTAACATTTGGCATTAAGTAGACAATGTGTGCAGATATCGATAAGTTTTTCAATTGTACTATTTATACGACATCAATTGATCTGTGAAAATACTTCCCGTCATTAATTATTTTCAAATGCCAGGAAAGTTTCGCGGCGCTCGTTTATCTTGTGGCTATCGCCTGTTCGCGTATCCTCTGAAAACGGAAGCTGTCGTTCGGAGCATTATAAATCTTGGATATTAACGGAGTACCCGATGTGGTCAACTCGACACTGTGAATATCGCGACTGCTTAAACTAACCATTCCGCCAACTTATCTCGACGTGTAATAGTCTTAGAAGGTAAAAGAAACAGCTGCTGCTGTAGAAGAGCCAAGTAATCCTTCTACGCTCTTCCCTTAAGTGAGTTTTTAATGTCATCCGCAGAACGCGGCGCGACGGTGACGAGATACACGCCGGGAAAAATAGAATGGGCTTTTTACAAAAGCATGGCAGGAAATAAGTGATATTTTCTAGATGACGCGTTTAACTATTAACTTCGTGAAGTCACGTCTACCTCAAAACGTGCAGAAATTAAATGTCAAATAAATGTAAACTGTTTTCAATAAGTTTCACCAACGTGACATTTAATCGTGATATTCGATTATGCGTGCATTTATGCATCTCTATTTATTATTGAAAGTAAACTAACCAAGAAATAAATAAATAAATTTATATATTATGTACATATATATATTATGTATATGTATATACGCACACTTATGAAATATGTATTATAGAATGTCAAACATAAATTGTCATATATTTAAATTTCCATCAATTTGCTTCTAAAGCGAAATATTCAAATATTTAATTAGAAATATTTGTTCTTCAGATCTCTTAATGCATTCTTTTCATTCTTTAAGATATGTAAGATATAAAAGTTACTTCCATTTATTATTAAAATTGAATTTATTTATTGGTTTTATTCATTAATTCTGTTGATTTACTATTTATTTGTGGAACATTAAAATTATAAATTAACATTGAATATCAGATACCAACGTTTCAAAGGTTAATGCACGACAACGCATTGACAATAATGTAAAGCGTTGCGCTAAAGCGCAATTCCTATGGAGTAACAACATGCAATCATCGCGAATCAAATAAATGAACAGTTAATTATGCAAATATAATAACTGAATTTACTCACGGATGCTGATTCGTTGTCGCCGCCTTCTCGTCTATCGCTGGAACAATCGTTGCTTCAAACACTCACAATGCGCAGATACGATTCAATCGGAAAAACACAACTGATTACGATTGCACGCGTTAATTAACACTCGCTCGCATTTACGTACGGAACTCCCGATACCACCTGAAATAATAAATACGATGTGTTTTATAATGCATAATTGATGAAACATAACGCCAAAATGGCGATCGTTTGTTACATCATTCAATACTCAAAATTAAATGACGTTCTCGGAGAATTCTAAACGCGACGTGACATCTTCGCGCTGTATTGCGAACCAAAGCTAACCTAACCTAACTTCGCGGCGCGCCGAATTGCAAATCTGATTATACCGAAAAACTAGAAACAACTAATTACTATTATATATCTTGATTAATTTATGCGTATTCAGTTTTTCCAATATTTGATAGCGATTCGATTGAGTAAATAATGCCGAACGATGCTTCTTGAGAAACAAAAAACTCGTGCGATAGTCGGCTCCGAACAGAACAATATACTACGAATATCAAAGAATGCTGTTAACCGCGAATATCTATGTTAATACTTTATGGTGATCATCTGTCGATACTTTTGACACTCGTTTGTACGTGAAATTTGCGTAAAGAACACAAGAAACGGTCTTCGAAACGGTCGCGACGTGACTTCGAAGCAGATGATAGAAATAAGCCGCGTTATGTGATGCGCAGAGCGCTCTGCTCTGAAGCGGTGTGAAGTATCGCGACTTTCACGTAAAGCAGAAACACCACGTTACTCAAAACAAAATACGAGCACACACGAGTCGAGATAAAAGTATGATACGTTGACAGTAAATACAGATTTTATTATCTCACATTTCGAAGTATAATAATATTGAAATAGAAATCGCCGATCATTATTGTATATTTTAATATGATTAATTTTTCAATTATACTAATCGTATTAATATACATATTAGTAAATACATAATACGGTAATTGCATGCTGTTAATATAACGTAATGCAATTAAATTTATACCTCCAATTTATGTACGTTATCAAGAAGAATTTAATAATTTTAATCATCTCTAATAGGATGTAATATAAAATAAAAATGCACTGTTCCTTTTTATTTTTATGTATAAGCTCTTCTCGAAGAGTATCAACAAAATATTTGCTAAAAGATAAAGAAGCACCAAGTATACAATAAAATTTCATAATAAATAAATCTCCATTAAAAATACTATCGGATATCTTTATCGACGTAAGATGATATTTTACAGGATAATTGGCTATTAAAAAACATTTTAATTTTAATGATAATAATTGATATAAAATCTTCTTGCAATTTACTGTAAATATATGAGTTTGTAAATTTGCTATTACTACATTTTACAAGAGTTCTCATTTTTTTTCTTAGCGACATTTGCATTTAAACGCAGTGAAACCAGTGATAAATGTATTATAAAAATCGAACGATTCCTACATGCACCTACATATATGCACATCATCTGTGTAAAACGTAGAGACAAGTTCGCACACTCGAGATTTCCCACTTCATAAATATTCACGAGGATTGGAACAAGCGTCCGGTTTGAGAAATTTCCGAGACGTGACAGTTTTTCGTCGAATTTGCTATGAGAGAGTCATCGAATCCAATTTACGTACATTATATCTACCTATGTACTCCGCGACGCAATTTAATTCGCATTTCACACTCCTGTGAGTAAAGGATTCACTGGCAAAGGATTTACGCTCTGCCGAAAAATAAGAGATAGCCCTTGAAATTTCTTGTCTGGCTCGTACAAGCCTCTTTTTCACCTACTTGAGCCGTTTTTATCGTATTCCGTAAATCTCCGTTAAAAGAGAGCATTTTTTAACGTTCTAAAAGGGTCCAGTCAGCCCGAAAGACCGCTAACTCTCGTTTGAAATTAAGGGCACTTTAAAATTACTATCTTATTATTTCACGATTGAGAACACCTTTGTCATTAATGATGAAAGCGTAGAATATATAAATATTTTCATTTATATAAAAATATTTGTATGTATACACAAATTTAACCTAATTATGAATTATGTTATTTCATTACTTGATGATTTTCCCATTATAAAAGATTGCCAAACAATAAAAGTAAGACAATCGTCAAATAATTAGATAATAATAATATAATTCATTTTTTATTCTATAAAACATCATTTAAGATAATTTTAAAAATATTTAGAAATAAATATTTTTATTTTTACTGTTATTGAATGCTTAAACAATTTTCATGAAAATATGCAAAAAATAGTAATTAAACAAAAATGATGAAATAAAGTAACATAAAAAATAAAAAAATTTTTTGAAAATAAATAGCGTCTATAAAAATTTAATTTTAAAAAATGACAGTAAATTCAAGAAATTCTGTAAACAAAGAGCGGCAATTGTTCTAAAATGAAACATGACAAAATAAAAGCACGTCTATTAATTTGATGGTAATGTATTACCCGTCAGCCATTCGATATTGATTGACAGATAACCACTGATAATAATTCAATATTATCGAACGGCTACGACGCATTATTGTCAATTAATGTCAGACTCAGAAACCATCGAAACACGCGACTTTAATAGATAGTTTACAGAATGAAATACTACCTTGAATCTCGTAGTTGATGTTGATCCAATATTAATGGACGCGATCAAACGACACGACACCAGCGATAAATGCGCGTTTTAATGAGATCACTTAACACGACAATATCTGCAAACGCGTAACGTCCAATGGCACAAATACATCGATCCGCTCTGCGTGAAATTTGGTTTACGCAATAAAATTCTAAGTTTATGAAAATGCACTTGTATGTTCGTAATTTTAATTGTCATACAACGTATTATCGTCGTGTGCACAATTATTCCGAGAGATTTTTCATGTTACACTATTACAAACGGCAAAAAAGTAAAAAAAAAAAAAAAACAAACTGATGATTTGCAGCAATTTAAACATATTTTTATTTTACATTGCAATTATGATAAGCTAATTAATGTATCAGAAAGTTTATTAATAATGTTAGAATCGAAACATTGTCATTACTAATAATTATGTAAAATAGAAATAAAAGAAGCAAAAAAGTAGTAATTTTAAGCTTTGGAAAAATATGTTTTGAAAGTCTTAAAATTGCAGAAATACTTGTTGATATAGCATTAAAACATATCTTAAATTTAAAATAATTAAGTAAATATTATTTTTGATGTAAAAGTGCTGAAAAAATATGTATGTTAAAATAACTTTAAATTAAAATTTAATTTTAAAGTTATCCCTATATATATATGTTATCGAGGTGGATGATGAATTTTTTGCCGTCTTATTCATAAATCTCGCAAACAATAGTTGTCAGGAATGTTTAACGAGTAACGCGTTATAATATAAAAATCGATTAAACGACGTGTCGCACGTACGGTCGTAGTTGGATTTATCGATTAGCGATGGGAGTATCTGATACAATTTATATCCTCCATGTACTTGGATATTGCGAACATCGCAAATGCATTCTGCATTCTGTTGCGTAATGGTCAGATGTAAACTGAATGCATGGTACTATTAAACAGTTAGCAGCTCATTTTTCACATCGTATATTCGTTAAAATTGGAAAATGCAGGGAATTTTTTTACGAGATAACCAAGAATAAAATAAATTATACTGTTATTCTTGTTAAAAAGTTATTTCAAAACAACAATTATCTACTAATCTATTAATAATTTTATATTGTTTTGTCTCGTTTAATTAATAAATAGAGAGTTTTTCTTAATCCGTCTAATTGCTTGGAACGCGTAGAGCAAAATGTTATTAGTAAAAAGTATATGTATTTATTCGAAAAATTTTATTGATTTTTAAAAAAAAATGCTAAGATGATATTCTTATTCGTAAATAAATCTTTATCCAATTATATTATGCCTTTGTTCCACAAGAACTTCACCATCTTTTACACGACTGGAACATTCCATCTTCCCAAAACTTCTTAGGTTTCTCAGCGAAAAACTTTTCGGCAAGCTGCGGTGCGAACTTTCCGTACAAGCAAGCCGAGGAACACATTTTCTTGTAAAAAAAACAAGTAGATGTGCTGCATGATAAATAGTTTTAGAATACATTTAGAAGAATAGAGTTAGAGAGTCAATTACCAGATTTCTCTACGTGACATGTATACTGTGTACTACTTGTCTCGGAGTATGATCTAACTAGACTTTGGTGCAACTGTAATAAGATTACTCTATGCAGCGTATACACTGTCCTAGATTAACTTTGCACGATCTGGTTTGACCTATTTAGGGCAACTCTAGTTGGAATAATCTATAGTGGACACCAATTGCATTATCAATGATGGTCAGTATTAAATATGACGTTCTCGTAAAGTGTTGCTTAAATTATGATAATATCAATAAACAACGATCTAGCTAGTACAATTCAGCTAACTATTTTCCGCAAAATAGTAGCAATTAAAATGTAAAGTTGTAGGCGAATTTACGTTTAGATGCAGATGCACGATTCGCTCATTTCAACGGAAAATTTAATACAGCTTTGCTGGTTGCGCGGAAAACCGAGACGATCGTTCGAACGTCCTTTCGCGAAACCAGTCACGTATTACGAGCATAGATTTTCGAGAGAACGCTCACCATGTTAAAAAGTGCACGACAGACCAGACAAGCAATTAGTCTCCGGCGACTAACTGCACTTACGAAGTAAGTGCATCATCGTCGTACCGTGACGCAGAGCAGCGAGCGCACCCGCGGCAGTAAAAACTTCCTAACATCGCAAATTTTTCCGTCGCGTAAACAAACCATCGACGGCGCCCAGACACGCCAGCATAACGGAATCTACCGGATCGACTATACGGTGGAAACGATGCATCGCTTCGATAGTCGATAACTAACGAGCACAATAACGCTGTCGCGCGATGCATTTGCTGCATCCCGATCTCGCCTGCATTCACGGTCGATTTTAAACCCGGACGACCGAGGCTGTGATGCAATTAAGCTCGCTTAAGTTACTTCGACATATAGATACTTGTATTTATGGTCTTTTACCTTAATAATAAATAAAAAATGTTCCTCCACACTTGTTATAAATTTGAACTTGCAGAGATAAAATGTTTCTATATATTGAAATTATCCTTCGTGCAGATTT